TTGGGAGGTTTTGTATACATTTTCATGCTTCTGTGTTGACAAATGAAGACCAGGATTACTCAACAGGAAGTTTAATTTTCTGGTAGCTGTCAATGGCTTTACCACCTTAAGACATGAAAACATATTTTATGATAGGTGTATGTGTAGTTCACAGTTCCCTTGTTTTGGCCAACATATTTCATGCCAGGGAAACACTGCAGAATGTGCAAGTTATTGTGGCGATTTTTATTTTTGGTTGGTTTTTTTTGGTGAGGTTTTCTTGGCTAGAATTGGTATTTAGTGTTAGCATGCCTGGATACTTCCCTGAGGATTAATTTATCAAACACTAAATAAAACATGTCTTCTGACTGTTTTCTTTTTCCTAATGTTTATTTTCCATGCCAATAGAGAGGTTACTTTTTTAAATAGAAAGTGGAGGGAAGGCATGAAAAAGACTTAATAGGAGAAAAAAGATGCTGAAGAAATGAGGGGTGAGGAGCCAGTCTATTGTGCACCAATCTATCACTTTCTCTTGGGAGAATAAGGAAATGACTTGTCTATAAAATTCTCATTAGCTGAAAATAAGCACAAATCTCTTCTGGAATCTTATTAGGCAATGTCAAATTGAGTAATAAAGGGTTGTTTTTAATGAACTCCTGAGGACACTGGTTGAGCTTTAGCACTACTAAACTGTCTCTTACAGTCTATTTCCCTATCTTCATGATACTGTTATATGCTGGGATGTCTGGGGAAGAAGAGAAATGGGTCATTTATCAGAGTTACAGGATTTGGAAAGACAAATGGCTTTCTGATCATCAACTTCTCCAAATGCCAGTAACAAAATGTGCTATAATTTGCTTCTTTTGTTATTCTGGTCCAATTTCATGTGAGGATGTTTGTTTTGGAATTAAATTTCTCTTTCAAATTAAATCAGAGACAGGTTGGTTTATTATGTTTGAAACTAAGGTGCCCAAGTAAGGCATGCACAACATTGAAACAAAGTAGCTAAATAAGTAAATTAGAAGTGATTTAAAATTTTTAGCATCTTTTTTTTTTTTTGTGCAGGAAGGACTCAAATTTAGAGGATCATTTTGCCTTTATGAGGTGACTAGAAGGTAATTAGCATTAGTTTCCACTACATATGCAACAATTGATCAACTTCAAAGTATTCAGTGGTTTGGTTTGATTCAGATAAGCAACTTTAGGCTTGCATGTTTATCCAGGACTTATCTGAACTATTTGGATTGAAGGAGGTAATGGCAACAAAACCTACAACCAACTGCAAGTTAATATTTTACATTAATAATGCACCAGCTATTCTTAGAGAAAGAAGTAGGAAAGACTGAAAAATTAGGGCACACTCCTTGACTGATATGAATCACCTTAGCTCTTTTAAAATTGATGTAGACCACTGATATTTAACTTCCTTCCATATGTGGAATGCTAAAGGTTTTCCTTATGGGGTATGTGGCACAAGATCAAATTTACTTATTCGTGTAAAGTCTGTTGCTTTTCACATACTCTCTAGAGCACTCTCAGACTTTTTGGGTTCCCCTCTTGTAAACCTCAAAACCGTAAAAAATCCCTTTCTTTTAAATTTATAAGTAGGTATTCAGGCAGAAGTAAGTGACTGTCCTAAGCTCTGATCTTTCATGATTTATTCTTTTCTCCTGTTCTCCCTTTCAAATGGTGGATGGAGACAACAAGTTAGTGTAGTAATATTTTGAAGGGAAAGTTGTTTCAGGAAAAAGAAACCTTTAAAATGGCTTTTACTAACTTAAAGTGTGTTCTGTCATACTCTAGTGTGAAAATCGACATCAGAGACTTTGCTGATGCCTTTGAACAAGAAATATTTAGTGTCTGCTACTTTCCAAGCAAAATATGGTGGACCATTAACAATGGATGTGCCAGAATGGCTCAAATGATTTGGCACATAGAATGAGGAAGGTTTCATTCAGCTGAATTTAGCTGAGGCTCAGAAACTTCCATGCTGTAGGGGGGCTAGGAAAGTCCAGCTATATGTTTACAGGTGTCAGCTGCTAGATGTGTACGTTGAAAGTGAGGTTCAGATAAACTAGTGATATGTGAGCTTGAGCTTTGTTTTTCAGGGTTTTTTTCCTTTTGAAGAGTGAGTGGTGAGTGTAGCTCTGGGGCATTCAAATGGTAGTGTCAGGGCACACCTCTGGGCACAGACAGGTTAAAGCATCACCCAAAGATTGTAAAACTCTCCTCTCTTAAACTTTTCATTTTTGCCTGACATTGTCTTCCCCCATCTGTCACCAAGCCTGTTTGTGTTACTGTCAAACTCTTCCTTTCCCAGTCTTCCCCCATCTGTCACCAAGCCTGCTTGTGTTACTGTCAAACTCTTCCTTTCCTTCATGCTGTTTTTTCTCAACTGAGCACCTGCTGAAATCTAGCTCCCATTATGTCTCATGTTGGTGTTGGACAGATGCTGCTCTGTCTTCCTTATTCAACCTGCTGGCCTGTGTCAAAACTTAAGAGAAATCTTTGTATCTGCAATGCTTCTGCAGAATTTTCCATCCTGGTCTCCACTTCAAAATTTCCATTTTGCTGCCTGTAAGCTCTCCCTGCCATGATTACTTCTAGTGTGCCATCCCCATGCTGGTTTCCACGGGGACAATGGCTGGTGCTGCAGGGCAGAGGGTTTTGTAGCATAGCTTGGATATGCACTCCAACCTAGAGCAGTGCTGACTGCATGGATGCACCACCTTCATGCTTTCTTGACCAGACTAATCCTTGAACTGAATGTTTCTGCTTAATATGCACATCTGTATGTGCAGATTAGCCCAGGGTCATTAGCTTTCTTATAGAGAAAACATTTTAAATTAGAGAACATAATTGATAGGCAAATATGTAAGGTATTTTGCAGTGGATAGTTTCCAACCTGGCCCTTGACTCTTGGTTCTGGTAAAGCACAAACACATATTTACCAACACAGCTCATTCCATCTTGAGCATCCTGTACACATGTAAACTTTGTCTTGGACTGGGACCAGTATGGCCTGGGTTTCTGCAACTTGAGGATGTTAAAATATGTTGACCAGGCTCTGCATTCATCAGGGTTTACAGCAAGCAGTAAGTGAGACTGACTGTGCTACAAGATTAACTCAGTGTTTTTCAGAATGGAACTTCAAAATGCTTAAAAGAAGTATAAGGCTTCACATTCCTCTCTTGACATGTTGTCTTGCATGTATGAGAGCTCAGAGAACTGTATTTAATACACTGAGAATCTGAACATTTCTTTATTCTTCTGTGTCACTTCATAGGGGCTTTGCTGCTTAGAAATATGAGATTCAGATGTATACTTTGTAACTTTCAATATTTGTCAAAGATGAAATTACCACAGCCAACTCTTAGATTAGTGATCAACCCTTTGAAAAACATACCTGTTTCAGCTTAAGTAAGTGAAATAGCCACAACATCTACAAATTTCTCCCATGTTGCTCTGTATTTAGCCTGGAAAAAATGTTTCTGAACACAGCAAATCCTGAAGTACAAGTCTTCTGTTGTTTAAGATCTTAACTGGAGGCAGTTAACACACTTGCAAATGGTCTTTATATATCAGGTTTCCTTTAAATTTTGTTTTGAATTTAAAATGATGTTGTGAGGATTTTAAGTTCCTTTACACTTCAGAACTCTGACCCTTGAGTTTTCATATACAGTGGGCTCAAAGATTTAGTGGTGTAGGGCTGATAAATTGCCTTTACTTTCAGAAGGACATGAAATGTAGCCTGAAGCAGGACAGTGCACCCTACACAGCAGAAAATGACTTAGAGTAGTTGCTGAGGCACAGTGTGGAAATGGTGCTGTGGGCAGTTTTGTGATTCTATGACTCTATGTGCATGCCTGTGTTTTAAAGTCTTTGGCAAAGCTCCTGTTGGTTTCATGGGCTCTCTGATCAAGCTAACCTTTAAGAAAATACACTAGGAGAAAAACCTAAAAGCAATAAATGGAAAACGAGCATTTTTCCTGCAGAAAATAGGGTATGTGTTGCTTCTAAAACTTTTTTTTAGAACCACTTTAGGCCTCCAAAGAATTATTTTTTTAATTGAAACAATTTTGCATTAATAAACTAACTCTTTTAAAACAAATATTTGGTTTCCACTCCATAAGTATCTTCTAGCTTTGCTTTTCTGTTATTTTATAATTTTCTCTGTGTTCTCTTTTGAGTTTGTCTTTTGCAAAATTTCAGAAAACAGTGAAAGAGTGAGAAGGAAATCTATTAGGAACATGTAATCAAAAATGTGAAAACTAATGTTTATTTTTTTTCAAATGGCTCCATGAAACTTCATTTTGTACAAAAACCCCCGTGGGCTTATCCATTACTTGGACAAACAAATCTGTTTTCTGTTAGCAAAGTTGTCATACAGCACACAAAGACATATAAAGCCAAACCCTATAGGACTCCAAAATGTCTCCACTTGGAGATTCACCATACACACAGAAGAGCTTGATAGCTTTTAGTTTATACGGATGTTGATCCCTTCTGTCATAAAAGTGGAAAGGCATAAAGAAGGGATAGCTCTGCCAATGTCAGTTCATCCATGCTGAGCTGCGCTTACTGAAGAGCTCTCTCAAGGGTTTTGGCTAATGGATGAAGATAGCATGGCCAAGCTGGATGATGAATGTTTCCAGCTCTTCTTTTACCATCTGTCCTACCATTCCTCCCTCCCTGGACTGAGTAGTTCCTGAATGGACTGCAGAATAAGCACTGATATCCATTTTTTAGGTAAATTGTCACTGATTTTGGTTTGTCTTGAACAGTCAGAGTTAGTAAGGAGTTTGGCCAGTCATGCATCAGCAGCAGATGACCAGGGCAGTGGTGCTGCCAGCCCCCCACGACACGATCCTTGTTGTTAGTCCCAACTGTCAGTTCTACCCCTTCCATTGACATAGGGGAGAGGTTGGGCTGCATTTAGGATGCTGCTCTGTGATCCTCAGCAGCAGCCTCCCATGAGATTGCACTCAGCTAAACTGACATGCTTCTGTCTCTTTCTCTAGATTGCAGTTTTGGAGGAAATACGTACAACAGCTCTATGAAATGGCACCTCCCGAGCAATCCCTGTGTTACATACCAGTGCCAGGTAAGGATGTCATCAACCTTGTGCTAATTGAGTTCTAAGCTTTTCCCAGGGATTTCTGAGCCTTCATTTTTCCAATCCAAATAACCTTAAATATTTTTCACCCAAAGCACAATATGGACTTTGCATTTAAAGTAATTTTAATTCATTCAAATGCAGTCAGCTATGACCAGACATTCAGAAGGATAGGTTTTAAATGACTTGAGTACCCTGATACCCAAACATTATTGAAGGAGAGGTACACAGCCATGCCATTTCCTTCTGTCTTGACCTTGAAATAAGTCCTCTTTTGTTTCAGCATGCTAAGCCTTTTGTGAGATACAAATTATTATTTTAGCAATTGGACACTTTTGAGTGTATTGTGTCCATGGGTTTTATCTGGGATGTTCTTTCAGAGAAAACCACAATCTAATCTTCTTTTCCTGGGCTCCTGCACTGCTGAAACAGAGGTATTTTAGGTAGCTTGCCAGTCTCCAACCATAACATTTTAAAAGTTGCCGATTTTCAGGCTCAAAACAAGTAATTATGTCAACAATTTTAGTGTCTGTCTGTGAATAGGTCTGCCGTTTTTGCTGACAATTTGATCTGGTTTTAATAACGCTCAGGCAGCTACTAAGAATGGCAGATGGAAAGAGTAGAAATGAATTAGTATTAAGAGCTTCTACTAACAGAAGAGAGTTTCAAGGTTTTTCTCTTTATTCTATAATACTAGTCTGTGAAACCTACACACATTTTTAAAGATAAGTACAGTGAGAAGACTGAAGTTGAAGCAGCAGTATCCTTGCACTTGAGAAGATACTTTCGATGTGAATTTAGATAGTTTCATCATTTCTGCCTGAAATGTTCAGTTCTTTATTGCCTATTTCAGTGTCTAAATGCAAAACTGGGTTATCCTGTTTACCCTAGATCCACACATTCGAAAAACAGGTTTCCCTTGCCTTCGACTGCAAAGCTGCAAGCACAAAAAAAAGGTAGCAGCCTTTTGTGCACAAAACCTCACACCCAGATTTGTTCAGGGGGACTCTTTACTTCTCGAATAAGAAGTACAGGAAATGTTAATTTGCTAATACTTATCAGGGAAAACATCAAAGATAAGCGTCTCCCCTCTACAGAACAAGATGCTTTTATCTGCTTTCTGAGTCTATTTTCCTCCAATAGGAGACGGAGGAGAATGCCTTGTGTCTGGCCTGTTTTCATGAGAGCTGCATGGCAGATTATCGAGGTTAAAGATTCCTGATAAAGCAAGATTCCTTTTCCTAAGAGGATGCTTGGTTTCTTACTTGATGCATTTTAAGGCAAATCCTGTGTCTGGAGTCAGGGAGACTCAAGTGGGTCTTTTGACTGTGGATTAACCTGAATCCTGATACCATGCAGTACATACAGAAAGAAAAGAGGTTTTGAAATCCAGTGCTTTACAGCATGTACCAGGCTTTAATTGTACTGCTGGTAATTGCCGATTTTTGTTTTTTAAAACAACCACAACACTTAACAATGAATATGTCTAATTTGCTTCTTTTTCAGGAAGGAGTGATAGTTGAGTCAGAAGTGCAGTGTGTCGTTCACTGCAAAAGCCCTACCAAACTCAGGGGAATGTGTTGTCCTGTGTGTCCAGGTGAGATTTCATGGGAAGATGCTGTCCTACATGTACAACTGTATTTCTAATAATAGCCATCATTACCTGGGAGGTTGCCTCTAACTTCTCTGTTATACTTGGCAAATTGCTAAAATGTGGACTGGTGACTCACAATACACAAAATTGCACGACTAGAGCATGCCTAGTATTTTTTAGTAGAGGACATGCAGACTAGGAGATACATAGGCAATAGCCTGTGACAATATCCACAGATGTATTTATGTCATTTTTCAGAGGGTCTGTCGGCTGGGTTTGGCTGGCTGAATACCATGATTTTATTAGGAGACGAAGTATAAGACTAATCCTAAAAAAGGGGACTCACTTTTTGAAGGGGAGTGGGAATGGGTTGCCTTTGTTAAGCACAGTGGCAAATTATAGGCTAATTTGATTTTAACAGAGGTATTGTAGGTAGGCACTGTTCTAGTTGTGATATAACAGATTTATTATCATTTAATTAGTTATAGTTTTTGCCAACATCTGACATAAACTCAGGGAATAAGAATGAGTTAGTAAAAAGCAAGCATCTTTAAAAAGTGTTTTAAAGCGACTTCAAATGGAAGACCTGACCTACCCTCAACTTCATTGATGAAAATTTATCTACTCTAGAAGGATACATTCTTTCCCCCCAAAAGATACTTAGGGTTTCTCAAGACCTTTGTTAAGGCTTCTGAAGTGATTTGTATTCATCTGAAATGATTCACTCTCTATGACTACCTGTAGCAAGCTGGGGATTGGTCTCTTCTCCCAGGCAACTAGTGACAGGATGAGAGGACATAGCCTTAAACTGTGCCAGGGGAGGTTCAGGTTGGACATCAGGAGGAATTTCTTCATGAAAAGGATTGTTAAACTTTGGAATGGACTACCCAGGGTGGAGTCATCATCCCTGGAGGCATTCAAGAAATGACTGGACGTGGCACTTAGTGCCATGGTTCAGTTGACAAGGTGGTGATTTGTCAAAGGCTGGACTCAATGATCTCAGAGGTCTTTTACAGCCCACATGATTCTGTGATTCTGTGTCAGAGAGGATGGTATTAGTTACTTTTCATATTCCTGTGTAATGGGGCATGTCAAAGAAAAAAAAGGCATCATGGTGTCTTGAGCTAAACATGCTTAAATTCTGTTTTTCAGGTTGTGTATTTGAAGGGAGACTTTACAATGAAGGAGAAGAATTTAGGCCTGAAGGAAATAAATGTACCAAGTGCTCTTGTATTGTAAGTATTTGCCTTTTGGCATTGTATTTCCCTGTATGAACTTCAAAAGGCATATTATTATTGCCATAACAAAGCAAAAAATATAAGGAATTCAACACTATTATGCATTCTTCTCTTGGAATTTGAGTTTCTGTTGAAGATTTTATGGCACTAATACATTGTATCACTCACATTCTGAGTTTATAATCTCTTTTGTGACCTTACACTGTACACAGATGGAGCAGGCTATTCGCAAGAAGGCTGATCTGTTGAATTAGTGGTGCATATTTTGTGATGGGGTTCTGCAGGAGGAGACAGAAAGCTTTTTTTTTGGCTTCATCTATTGATCAATATTGCTTAGTTGTTTTCTTAAACCAAACTTTCTCAAGAATTCCCTTCAGATGCATGCAGCAAGGGCCTTTGCTCTGGATTATTGAGTGAAAGAGTGAGGATAGCCTTCTTAGGCTGTCCCAGGTGAATTTTTGGCTTGATGCTTAATGAAAAGGTCATATCCTGGATTTTATTCTTGCCTAGCAACAATATAGAGAGGAAGTAATAATTGCATCCTTTGGGTAATGAGCACAGGCTTCTCTTTCACTTCCATTAAGTTAAAAGATAATGCTGTATGAATTGGGGCAGATAACTTTGACTACATTGCTGTAATCTGTGAGGCAAGTAAAATGCAAAGCTCAAATCACTGTTTTTGTTGCAGTCTGTCTGCTGGTTATCAGTAGAATATGCAAGGCCAGGGAACTTTACATTTCAGTAGAATTCCAAGAGTTTTGTCAGACACAGTTCTCTTGCATCACAAAAATAAATTAAAAAAAGGAGGAGAAAAATATAGACTTTAAAATTTATACATTTTAATACATATACACACAGTCTGCTGCACAGACTTTAAAATTTATATATCTTAATACATATACACACAGTCTGCTGCAGAGAACTTGGACTGTTTTGTGGGGAAAAAAACCCTGGTATTCTGCAAAATTAATTTACACTAAATCATCACTGCTCCTGTGGAGATTAGGGTGCTCAGGTAATTTCTTTTTTTTTTTTTTTTTTTTTAAAATTTTAATCCTGTAATAATGAAAATCTGCCATCACACATGTCACAGTGATAGATGCCCTGGGCTCTTGCTCTGCTGAATGCCTTCTGTCCCAGGCTGAGAAACATTGCTCCCTCTGTACGTGGTGTGTCCCCCTCTCACTTCAGCTTCAGCTGTAAAGCTGATTTTCCTTAGTTATGTTCCTCAGGGGAAGGCAGGTCTGAATGTTTGAGTAGTCTGTGGAGACATGCTCAAGTCTTTTTGGGTTGTGCTTTGCTCTTTCATAACTACTGTACAGATATTGCCTATTGCCCAGTTATTGGTGTGCCAACATCTCCTTGATCAACTTTCCTTTGTTCTCTAAATATCAAAAGCAGCTGTGCTGAGAAGAGCATGGGAGGTGGGAGATATAAAGAAGTATAGGAATATAGGGTCACACCTGAGGGTCTTAGCAAGTCAGTTACCAGTCTCAGCTATGTTAGAGAAGGAAATGCATCAACTACTGAGAGTAAGATCTTTGAAGTTTCAAGCAAGGTGCTTAATGGTCCCTTTCAAGAAAGACAGCATGATTGTTTTGGATGTTAATGACATCTATATAAAATATCCAGCTGTCATTCTGAATCTTACTGAAAGCCAAAGAAATGCCATCTATGTGTAAGCCACATCAGAACTCCCTTCCCTCTCTCTGCAAAACCTTTTTTTACCATCTTGCCAGTTTCCTTCAGAATTTGAGCCTATGCTAATTCCTATGTAATTTAAAGTAAATAATGGGGGCATCCTCAGGGCTGTGATGGCAGTTTGGTGCCTGCTTTGCATCCATTCCCTTTTGGGAATGGGTCCCCAGTGAATCTCTTATCTAAACAGCTGGTGGATGGTTGTCTTATTTAAAGATACCTATCTAGTCATGCAGAGTGATAGGAACAGGCTTTTGTGTGATGTGCTGTAATTTGTGCAGGCTTTAACAGGTGAAAGGTAGCTCCTTAGCCCAAATTAGATTTCTTCTGGGATTTCAGATTGTAACTATTTAGTACTATTTTCCACTATTTTGTGGAAATGTGGCAGAAGAATGAGCAAATTATTGCTATTTTGGGGATGTGTGTGTTTAAGGATTCCAGTCACTCTCACTTCAGGGTGAATTCTGCATTTTACTTGGGAGCAAACTTTTCTATTTCTTTCTGGACTCCATAGGCCATCACTGTCCAGGGGTAGCTCAGACTTGGGACTGCAGACAGCATTGAACAGGAAGAAAGTAAAGAGGGATGGCTGTGGTTTGTTTTCCTAGAGAGATATAGGGATGATGTACACTTGCTGAATGTATAAAAATGTAGAATTACTTAAAAAAATGATGCACTCAGAAGTCAGTATGTGTCAGCAGGCCTGAACTGTGGGGCCCCATCTTTAGAAAGCTCTTCGGTAGTTCAAGTTTGTGGTGCCTACTAGATACTATTGAGCTCCTGAAGAATGTGAAATAGTTGTTAAGATGTTGGGGCTTTTTTTTTAATGCACATTGCTTGTGCAAATGAGGACAAAATGGGAATCTTGGGAGTTGGGGGATCCCCATCTTGGTGGAGCAGGCTGGCCAATTCCAGGGCTTCCCATGTGCACCATGGCCCTGAAGGGTAGAGAAAGCAAGGGCATGGCTATACTTGGATGGTTCACTTGGTCCTTACCTGCCAGGTGCTTAACTTGTGAGTATGGTTTCTGTTTAACACCACTTGTGGTTCTAAACAGTTATTGTCTACTGAAAACCTGACTAAACCCACCAAACTCATTTCATGGAGGTCACCAAAACAAGCCATTAACTAGTAACTTTTGGGTTGTTACTGAGCCAGGCTGTGCTCGCGGCAGCGAGGTGGAGATGAAAGCCCCTGTATTCCATTACTGCTCTCCTAAGTGAGCTGCTCCTTGGGGCGACTAAGATTTCTTGCTGAAAACGAGAATGTATCACCTCTCACTCAATGCATGTTGCCTGTCAGGAGTGAATGAGCTGGCTTTTAATGACTCAGTTTCTCTGGGGAGAGGCATTTGTGTAGGAAAGGTAGATGGGATAATAGGGATCTCCTTGCACCCCGGCTGAAACCCAGCTGTCTCGCAATAATTTATCTGTCTGGCCTGTTCCTGCTTTTCGTGATAGGCCAGCAGCCTGTTCTAGAGAAACCTTGGCTATTTTCCCTACCATAAGCACCTACTTAAATGAAGGACTGGCTGCTTTAATCAAGTGTTATTTCTCAGATACTACTTTTATGAGGTTGAGAGTGTGTTTCTGCTTGCACGGTAAGAGCACTTGGCTTACATGTTTCCTTTCCTACAGCCTGCATTAAAATAGTCAGACTGTGATTATCATAAATGTTTTCATTTTCTCTTTTGATGTAGCACGTTTGGGAAAAAAAAATAGTGGAGGAGGAAGGAGAGAGAGCCAGGGAGGGAGGAGAGGAGATTTGGCAGGAAAGTGACCTTGCGTGAGAGCAGTAACCATGGAGAAACTTATCTTTAAATGGTAGTATCCAAACTCATAACTAGCTCCTTTTGACTCACAGCGCTGTTACCCAGACCATGGGCGCTGCGCGTTTTGGCATGCGAGGCATGCGGCGGTACGAGGTACCACCATGCTGAGAGCACATAGCACTATGGAGACGCCGCAGCCCAGGACCTGTCTTCCTCCACACCCCTGTGGGGAGAAGAGAAGCTGACCTGCTTGGGAAACGGTTGGAGGCTGGATTACAGCATTGCTGGGATGGCTGAGAGCTGGGAATGGGAAAGTTTGTGCCGTCTGTCTGTTCTGTGGGGAGGCATGTCACAGGGACAGCCTTCAGCAGGGTGGTTGTGAGCATTTGGTCCCCAAACAGCATTGTTTCACAAAAGCAATGCTGGCCTCTTAGATGCTTTTCCCAAATGATTTGGAACAAGTGAAACACAAGTCGCTGGGAGCAGATCATGGGGATTTGGGGTCCTTGGAGAACTGAATTGAAAAGCAGCTTGATCTCCTCTGCATCATTGTGAGCTTTTACACTGCTGCTCAGAGGGGCTCAAGATGGAGACAGCTACTGGTCTGCAGGTGCACTTGTGGGTGTGTGCATGCAGGAAATGTCTTGTCACTTATGTTCCTGAGTGCTAGAGTGCAAAAACTGCATAATGAAGCTTTGCACAAAGAAAAGGAAATCGCACTGAGAAAATCTGTTTCTAAATCAATGGGTAACAGGTGTTTCAACTGTGATAAGTAATGAGAAACTACATATGTAAGTGTTTTGAATGCTGAGGGTGGAATTCATCTTGTCTAGCTTCAGCCATTCCGAAGTAGTATGTCTGATCTGAGCTACTTATCTGGGCCCCTCTTCAGTTAATGGAGAGAAGGGACAGAGAGAGAGGTGGGATGGATTACTCTCTGCAGATGCCTATCTCCCTCCAATAACAAGAGGGGGAGCCTACCCAGCTCCCAGGCCTCAGGGATGGCTCAAGAGAGCCAGGATGGATCCTGGCCCTGCAGTCAGCTGGGTGATTAAGCACCCTGATACTACTTGAAAGGTTTGGCTTTAACTGCTACTGGGTGCTGCTGGGATACATTCCCACCACAATAGACTGTGGGGGAGGTATGCCAGTCTGCTGGGAAAGTCAGGGGAACATGCAATTAAATGTGTCCTCAGTGAAGACTGAGGATAATTCAAATTCAAATTTCCATCCTCACTGCAGTGCCAAATGTTGATCTTCCCAAATTTCCATGTACTACAACTGCTTTGATTCAGCTCCAAACTCCAGCAGACACTGTCTGCCCCTACTTAGGGCCTAAGAAACAGCGACAAAGAGTTGTAGTTAGGGGTGGAAAAACAAGAGTTGGTCTTTTGGTAGGAGTGCTCACATCTTCAAAGCTAATGACTTTAGTAGAAGTAGTTGGCTTATGGGTGGATGCAAATGGAGACCAGTAAGCATACAGAAATGGAGGGATGCTCGCTGTATCTCCCTGGGAACACCCAATAAGTTTGT